GGTGCCATTTTTATATCCATTCAAGCAGCGAAAATTCAGAGTCTAGACCAGTACTGTCTATACCCATTTTACATTTAAACTTTAAAAGTTCGGTTCCTTAGTCACACTGGCCACATTTCAAGTGCTCAGTAGCCACACGTGGCCAGTGGTTGTTATGCATTGGACAAAGCTGTCCTAGACAATATCAAGTGTTAGAAAGATATAGATTACTAACTAGCTGTCCTAAATCATCGTTGGTGGGAGTGTAAGTTGGTTCTGCCACTTTAGAGTAATTTGAGTTATCTTGTTGGGTGAACATTCATGCCTTGCGATCCAGCAAACCCCCCTTAGACAGATACCCAAAGAAACCCTTGTCCATGTTCACCAGGAGATAGACAGGAATGTTCATTGCAGCATCATTTGTAATAGCAAAACCTGGCAATCACCCATATGTCACCAACAGGAAGATGGATGAATGATGGCATATTCAGACAATGGAATAATAAAAGTAGGCACAATAAATGAATTATAACGAGTACATATAAAAGAATGGCTGAATCTTGGCAATTTGATTCAAGGGGGAAGGAGTAAGTCCCACAACATAAAAAGGCAGTGACATCCTTTTTCAAAAGCCCAAAACAACTAAAACCAAAGAGTATAATAGGACTCTACCAGAACATACTTTGAAATGTGATAGGACTACGAGAAAAAGAAAAGCCAAGAAATGATCAATATAGGATTCAGAATAATAGCCGTGTTAGGTAGAGGAGGAACAGGGTGGGCTGAGGCGCGGCAGAGGACCACGCAGACAGACTCAATTTATGGTCAACGATGGAGTTTTCCTGCTGGGGATGGTGGTTTCACATATTTATCACATCATTTAAAACAAATTTTAAAAAAGCCAATGATGATAGTGGACCTTGAACTGAGGATAATGATGAGCCCAGTTTAAAAAAAAAATAGAAGAGAGTCCTTTCCCTCCAGATGCTGATAGGCTCCCAGGAATATACATGAAAGTGATATAACAGCAACCACTTAGCAGTGGACCCGCTATATTCCTGAATCACATAGTGAACAAATTAGGGTTTCTGTTACAGTCATACTGTTCTTTTGTTTTTGGTTTTTTTTTTTAAAGATTTTATTGGGGAGTTAGGGGAGGGGAACAGCATTGGGGAATCGGGGAAGGGGAACAGACAAGTTGCTGTCCTTTTGTTCTTCAGTCTAGTTGTGGAGGACGTCGCTTCACTGGCCCATGTTGGTATTATCATTGCGCTCTTCCCGGGTGAGGCAGATCAATTGCCGGCCATTGGACGGCTGGTTATGCCGGCCGCCGGCCACTCACGGCAGCCCACTGCAGCCCCACTGCAGCCTACGCCGTCGCCGGTGACTTATGACAGCCCAGCTCCAGGTCAAGCTGTTGTTCACCATCTTAGCTGTAGAGGGCACAGCATCACTGGCCCTTGTGGGATACGAACTGGCGACCCTGCTGCTCAGAGCTTGCACTCCCAAGCCAACTCTTAACCAACGAGCCACTCAGCCAGCCCCAGTCATACTGTTTTCAAAGGCTTATGTGAATTTGTAGTGCCATCATCAATAGATGATGAAAACAGTTGTATCATATGATACCCTGACCCAAAGTATATCCCTTTAAACTCTTTGCTGGATTATGATATTGGAAAACACTAGCTTGTTGTTTTTTGTTTATAGTTCTTTGATATATTTGGGACTAAATTTATTCACACATGGTGACTTTAAGCACCCCTCTCTCTCCCACCAACCTCCCAACTTAGACCTCAGAAGTTAAAACTTTAGTTGAGTTTCAGAGAAGAAAGAATAGTTTTTCAGATACCAACAGTGATAAGGTAATAGGAGATTGTGGGAAGAATTCCTTTAATCCAACTCACTGCTTCTAGTTAAGAGTATCTTGGAATCACCCCTTCTAGTAGTACCGATATTTATAAAACTAGAAGAGAAGACTACATTTCCTCTCTGGCAAAGTTGAACTCGCTTTTCTTCTGTATCCTTGTGAAAAATGACCCTCGAATGCCACAGTGAACCTCCTCCATCTGCAACATCTAAGAACTATTTCCAACCTGCCCTGATATTTGGTTGATTGCAAAGTGAGGACCTTGGAAATGGGAAGATAGTTTGCAGCCTGTTGGGAAGACAGATAAGAAAAGAAACTTAACTAGGCAGTGTGTCCCCCGCCAGGGAGCTGCTCTGCCTTTGTATTCTCTGTGTTTGAGTAGGTTTGTAGTTTGCAAATTAGCAGATAATGTATTGGGAGTGGGGTGAGGTTGGGTCACTGAAATTTGGGGGAGGCCCTGAGGGAGGCCATGAAGTCAGGCTGAATGGACCAGAAAGCTATTTGATAATGAGATAACATGGGACACACTTACTTACATTCCCAACGATTGCATAGTTGTTACAAGATGTGATTTCCAAGGGTTCAGAAATAAGCCACCTTTCCGTGGCTTCTCTGTCTTCCTTGGCTCCCACCAGAGGAGGTTAGGACTCTTAGTAAGTTTTCTCCTCCTCAGTAGCATGTTTTTCCCACTGTAGGTACTAAGGAAAAGATTATTTCTTCTAAGGAGCATACGTGTGTCAGCAGAGACATCATGTCATGACTTTGTCTTTATACCGACCCCTTCCTTTGTTTTGGTCAGGGGATGGGACAGACACACCCCCAAGCTTTCAGGAAGATGGGGTTTTAGCTGGTTCACATTTTGCCTTGACCTTGTTGACTTTCAAAGCTCAGAATCTCAAGTCTTCAAACTCTCCACCGAAGTTTGCATAGCACCTTTCCTTTTTTAGCTCAAGAGCCACAATGGCCCTTATACCAGTCCCCTACCCGCAAATACATTCATTCATTTATTCAGCTCCTGTGTATTGCTTTTCCACCATGTACTGGGCACTGCTCTAGTTCGTAGGATAACAGTGAACAAAACAAAATCCCTCTTCTCGTGGCAGTTACATTCCAAATGGGGAGCCAAGCGGTGAGCAAATATTTTATCTAAGTGAGATGTGAGGTGAATGTGCTTTAAGCATATGACTGACTTTATCTCCAACTTGTATTTTGAAAGGGTCATTCTCATTGTTAGGAGGGGAGGGGATACGGATGGAAATAGAAAGAACGAGTTGTAGGGCTATTGTAATAATCCATCACAAATCCAGAGATGAGGAATAGCTGGACTAGGGATATATATGGAAATTGAGCCTACACCCCTCCCCCCCCAATAGATTGGGGGCGATGTGGTGAGAAGAATCAGGACGAAGCCTACATTGAAAAGTGATGAGCAGCAGGTCCTGTCACATCTGTCTTGGAGGAGCCTTTGGGCTTCTGCCACCATAGCCCGAACCTCTTCCAGGAGCTTCACGGGGACAGAATAGTAGAACTGGCTTGGGGGAAGAGACACGTGACCTGCCTGTCCTAGGCAGTGTTTGGAACGACAGTAGATGACCTACTCGTCAGGGAGAGAGGAGCAGGCTCTGCGCCTGGAGCTGCACGCCTCTCCTCCCCCTGGCTCGCTGGGCTCGCGGTGGTCGGCCCGCGTTCATAAGTGCAGCTGCCTGCACCGCCCTCCCCACATCAGTCAATAATTGGGGTCTAAAGAGCCAACAATAGGCCCAAGTCTTGAAGAAGGAATTGAGACGATGCCTAATGGGAAGATGTGCGTATATGATAATCAATTCAATTTTTTTTTTATCCATTTCCTTAGTGCAGATTGTTGAAACTTTTTAAGTCTCTACATCACCCTGGAAGAGTACAAGCAGTGGTGCTTAGGGCCTCCTTGTTACTGAACTTCTCAAAGGTTATCATTGGCTTTATGGCTTTCCGGCACGCAGCAAACATTACCCAGGTGTGGGCCTCAGACATCATGGCCTGATGAGCTGAGTGTTTCCTGGGTCCAGGGGTGCTTCGCAGGTTGGCCCAGTGTTGCAGCTAACTATTGCGTGTCCCGTGGCAAGTTCCTGTCCGTATTACTCCGTGATCTGCCTCCAGGGCCCTCTTTGCCCTTGTAGTAAACCTCTCCACTGCTGTTAGTACATGGTTCGGAAGTGCTGACTCCGTGTGTATGCCTCGTCCTCATTTTTAGATATGTCTAAAGAGGGGTGTTTTGCTTCAGTGGAATCCAGGAACAAATAATGAAAAGTACAGCAAGTACAAGGCCGAGGACAGAACCAGCACACTCTTATCAGTCATCTGAAATATGCACAGCCTTTCCAAGACAAATACGGGCTCCTGTTTCTAGGAAAACACCAAAAAGTACTTATCAATTAGCCTGTATATGGTTTGTGGAGAAAGACAACATCAGCCTACCCTGAAAGCCATAGCGAAGCAGATTCCTTTGGGCAGCCGGCAGCTGAGTGGCATGAGTCAGAACCACTGCAGAACCCAGGCTGTGGCCTGGGACCAGCCCAGGGAGTCCTTCGTCTCCCTCATGTGATCACCGCGTCCCTCACCCTACTCCCGGGCAGCTGAGCTCATCTTAGAGGAAACCCAGAAGCTGGGTGTGTGCTGACTAAATGCCCAAGGTCCATCACTCTCCTCCCTGGCCCTGCAAGTGCGGACATGCATCTCCTGAAGAGATTCCTAGAAAAATGGGGTGTCCAGTAATAATGACAGTAGCAGGACAGTACCAACCACTGGTTGGTAGGTAGCCCCCATTCTGTCTCTGAGCACAGGCTTGACAGGCATCGTTTACTGGACCCTCACAGCAGTCCTGTGAGGGAGTGGAGCTGTCAGACCCCGTTTTACAGAGAACACTGGAACCGCGGACTACAGAAGTCAGCCACCTTGTCCAGGATCGCACAGCTAGGAAACAGCAAAAGCGCGGTTCTGATTCAGGATTGGAGTCTTTAATCCCCATCTTTTTGTACATTCACACACGTAACACTGCGGTTTGTTTCCGGTCACTAATTTAGAGTATGTCTGGTAGTGAGCTTTTATCTGAGACGAGGACGGGAAATCATTTTAACACAACACTTAACCCCTGCTTTTTGTCCATTTACCCATCTAGGACTCAAGCGCAGAGGGTACGGAAACCCCGGTGCTGCACGGGGCCCCAGGGGCTGCTCCCCCGCTATTCTGAGAGCCAGGCAGAAGGGCAGGAGCAGCTCTTCAAGCTCACGGACAACGTACAGGACGAATTGTAAGTGGAGCGGTGGGAAGCCAGCCCTGTGGGCTCACCGACTTGTGTCTTTTATCTCTGAGGCTGAGAAGGTTTTACCTGACCTGAGTGTCGTCCTGACTCTGAGACCATGGAACTAGTCAGAGATTCCTTGGTTTTATAGGTTTAGATAGAACTGCTTGGAAACCGCCTTCTACTCAAAACAGTGGCTCTCAAACTGAGCTCCAAGCGGGACCTTAATGTTTTGTTCCTAGAAAATGGCAGTTTCTTTCTAGTTAGTTCAAAGAGACAAGATAATGAATAAAGTGTTCTCAATGTTAAGGGTTGTTTTTCCCCTGTAAAATTTTCTTAAACTTTGGTGTTCTATTGTTTGCTACAGAAATCTAGTGAAACAAAACAGATAAGCAAATAACAGCTAAAAATTGGGGGGGGGGAGGTGCAGGTTTCTTAAGATCGCTTTGTTACTCTTTGAATGCAGAGCCTTACATCCCTGGGGTCTTGTAATATTTTCAATTAGTGAAATTAACCCAGGTTGGTATGATAGAATTCAGTATGTCACTATTTTAAGATATTCTGCAGGGACCCTTATAATGTAAAGTGCTCTGTAACTTATGTAGGTGTTAGAACCACCAGCCCAGAGAAAGCAATTAGTTACGCCTGATGAGAAGCAAAAGGCTACTTTAATTTCTCATGTATCTCCTTTAAAATAGAGCCAGCTAGGGGCAGTTATGAGGGCCATGAGTGCGTTTTGGTTGGTGGAGGCGTGTCTGAAGTGGAGGGTAACTCTCAGAGTAGCCTTCAGTGTCACTGGTAGAAACGGTGTTAGCTGACCTCATCTCATATTGCTGTTGTGGTATTTGAATGGGGACATCCACCATCAAATCCATTTGTTGCTTGCTGGATAGGATGGCGTCTTCCTGGGTGTGTCTTGTGCACCCCAGACCTCCTGCAGTGTTGTTGGAGGGTCTCTTAATGATGGAGGTGCATTACGTTATCTTAGTCAGCTCAGGCTGCCTGGCTTGCAGATGGCCACCTTCTCACTGTGTCCTCACGTGGCAGAGACAGAGTAAGCTCTCCGGTGTCTCACATAAGGACAATCATCCTATAAGATCAGGGCCCCACCCTCATGACCTCACTGAACCTCACTTCCTTACTCAAAATAGTTCAACATAGGAATTCGTGGGGGGGGGGGCGGGGGGCGGGGGAGCAATTCAGTCCATACATAGCATGTGTCATTAGTATGTTCTGTTCTCTTAGTCCGGCCTCAGCGCCAGTCATCATTCCAGTGTCCAGAATCCCTGTGCAGTTTCACTCCAGGGAGGACTGGAAATGCCTGCTTCCTTGGGGATAGGATTTCGCACTGTGGCCACGCTTTATACCACTTTAGGCCTTTGGATCAGCAGCCCAGAGAGTCATTCTCAGGATCAGCAGGGCACGGTGCAAACTCTGCTAGAATGGCGGCCGCCTAGGGCTGGGACTTTCGTCTGTTCCATTCATGGAGGAACCCTCACACCTAGAGCAGTGCCTGGCACATCATAGGCACTCAGTAAATATTTGTGGCGTGAATGATAGCCGGATAGCTGCAGTTCAGCGCTTTATTAATACGTGTGCACTATTCCATCCTTAGGAGGGGGAGTGGGAAGGTTGGTCAAAGGTTGAGATTATAAAATTACTGTACATTGTGCTTTTAATTTCCATCCCTGGTCCTTGTGAAATTCATTTTCAGTAGACTGACTTGTGCCAAAAACACAAGGGAGACAGTGTGTAGTACAGGAAGGCGTGTCACACAGCTGACATAGGGTTGCTCCCAGTGACATGCACACCCTGGAAACATCCACGGAAAGCTGAAAACTGGAATCAAAATGATGTCAGTAAAATAGGTTTCATGAAACCCTTGAAATTCATACGAACCGGGAAAAGATATTGGCATGAATGAATTTTGACTCTAAAGATGAAAACCATGTGTCTCTACCCGTTGGCGAGTTACAACTTGGCCAGTGCATGTGGAAGGAGGCACGTGACCATGGCCTTCCTCAGTACACGAGGAAGACGCCATCGGGGAACCAGCAAATGTTTCTCTGATGTATCCTCGGTTGTCAGGCTGGGTCCTCACGGTGACGTGAACATTAGCATCATCACTTTGCAAGTAAGGAGTTTTCAGGAAAAGCACACGAGTGCCAAATTATACCTCTGACTTTTATCCTAGAACTGTAATTAAAAACATGTTTACAGACCTAATTGTTTGCATATTTTCCTCAGAGTTAACCCCTTAAAAGGTTCTTTAATACCTTGCTCTACTGTTCTAACTAAATGTTTCCACATTTTTTTCCAGTTAGACTCACTGTTTCACTTCTGGAAAATATTGTGTAATTACTTCCTGATGTCGTGAAAACCCCACAAAGTCCCCAGTGCCATGGTTACTTCAACTTTGTTCTCCCAGATCAAGTTTCATTTAATTTTTTCATTTTATTTAATTAATTAGTATTAAAAAGATAGTTACTGACATACGATTTAAGATCTGGCCAGCTGAAAAGGCTTTAGTCTCACATGAATCAAATATCTCTCTGGTATGTTGCAGAATTACCATTGTTCCCATTTTTCTCAGTTTTGGTTTTGAAATAGGATCCTGGCTTAAGCTGATGTTAAAGTAAAATTTGTCCTATCTCATTAAATTAATTTTTTTTTTTATAACCAGTGTCTGTCTGTAGCCAGGAATCTCATTTTCTTTTTTTTTTTTTTAAGTGCCTGTTTTATTTCTAATCCTTCATCACAAAGTCACATACTGGCATTATAAGCATTAGGGTGGCTCTTACATTTTCAAAAAAGGGGCCCATGAGCAGCCCACATGACCTAAGGAGCTGCTCTACCATGCCATTTTCTGGAGTTTGACAATCGGATTGTATTTTCAAAATGTAGTTTCAGAAAATAACATTTGTGAGATTTTTTTAATACAGAAATATATAAAAAAGAAAACAAAAATAGCCTATAAACCCACCAGCCAGATAAGTGCTTTCTCTCTTTGAGGAAATAAACTTCATGCACGTGGTTAGCAAATTCAAAGAGCACAGATATAAAATCAGGAGTAAAAGTCTCCTTTCTTGTCCCCTTTGCGTCTGTGGTAGTTTGTATCCTGTCTACCCTTCCTGAGAAGCTGCAGAAAGAGACAGAGAGAAATCAGAAATGTTTTTGAGCACCGGTTGAAATGTTCATTCTAATAGCTTATAACTACAAAGATAAACCTTGTAGTGACATAGACAGCCTCACAGCAAAAACAAAATACGGGTCCGTTTGAGGAATGCGATAGAATTCATCAGCTTCCTTCTCTAAACCAGGAAATAATCTGTCAACCATTGACATTTAGGGAAGTGGACATTCTTTGATACGCCACTGAATTAAAACTTTCATTTGATGGATTATTCAGCTATGCTGATCAAGGTTAATGGCTTGCTAAATCTTTAATAAGTTAAATCAAGCGTTCTGAGAGAATTCTTTAACTTGACTAAGGGTAAAATATCCCCAACATCCCAAGTTGCATGTACTCTGGCAATTCCATTGGACCTCACAATGTCATTTCACAGTCATTTTCTGAGACTACCTAACACATAAATTTATTAAATCCTACTATGGACAGGACAAATAAGACATGTGCTCTTGCCTTGACAAGTTCACAGTCTAGCAGATGAAACGGACAGCATTACCTACTATCTATAACGTATGATTGCTTTTAAAATAGAAGTGTGAGCCATGTGTTATGGGGCCACAAGGGGAAGTGATTAATTTATGCCTGGGAAGCTGGGGAAGGCTGTGGGCAATTGCCCTGGCCCTGCAGGATGGGGAGAGATGTGCCAAGGAGAGAGGAGAGAAAGTCACGTCCGCAGAGAAGAGTGTGGGCAGAGGGAGACTGAAGAGTTCATGGCGTTTCTGGAGAACTCGAGTTAGCCAGGTGCTGGGGGGGCGGGGGCAGCACATGTACGGGAGGGAAGGAACAGCAGAGGCCGGAAGGCTGGAAAGGTGGGTTACAAGGCCAAATTCGGAGAGCCTTGACCGCCACGCTAAGTTTACTGCTGTAGGCAGAGGTTAGATTTTAAAGAGGATCCCACTCAAAATTACATTTTAAAAATGTAACCTCTGACAGCAACAGAAAAAGGGATAGAAGTTGGAGAGCCTGGAGGCAGGAAACCAGTTAGGAGGCCCTGCAGGGAGCAATGCAGGTACGTGGTGGAGAGGCCTGAACGCGGCCGGTGGCTGGGAAGAGGAGGAGAAGGACAGAGCTGAGAGGTATTTAGGAGGTGGCGTAAGTACAGTCCACAGACTAAGGAAATTCTTAATCTGAGTGAGGAGAAGGGTTAAGAATGACCCTGGGCTTCTTGGCCGTGTGTGGTTGGAGGGAGATGCCACCCACCGCAGTCGGCAATGCTGAAGACGGAGAGAACTGGAGGGGTAAGGGCAGCTCAGCGGAGGGCACGCTGAGTGTGAGGGGGTCCCAGGCAGACTTGTGGGGGGAGACACATGGCCGGGGAGGAGCATCTTCTAGGAGCGCACCTGGAGTGAGATGACCCAGGACTCTTCTGAGTTTGAAATGACTCCAAAATGAGTAGACTGTAGATATATAAATAGAGTTAACAAAAGAATGGGAGAAAAAGAAAGAAATCAAACCACGAGAGTTGTTGGTTGAAACAGTGACTTGGCAGATTTCTCTCTCCCTGAGGACCGTTGGTCCTGAACCCGTTTTCCATGAGGCCTCTTAGAGGGACACTCATTTCTCCATCCGCTGGAGCGAGGATTTGTAGACTTGCGAGGGGACCCTCCCTGGTGTCTGGAGAGCTTGGCATCTGTTCTCAGCAGAAAACAGAGGAACAACGCCGCTGACTGGGCTTCTCTTCTGTATCGGGTTTGTAGATCAGCTCTAATTGTCACCTTGGCCCCGCAGAGTACATGGGATGATTCTTGTTTTATAGACGACGGCAGGGAGGCTCTGAGCAAAGCCATCTGGTAGTGACAGGCAGAGCCACCTGGCACCT